AGGGTGAATCTTCTACACGAAGGATTATCTGAGCCTTCTATCCAGTATAAGTGTTCTATAGTTTTTTATGGTTAGTAACTTTGTTTCCCTTTGAAGTAGCAATGTGATTAAGGGTTGGAAGCATTTTGTTTGGTATGAAACTCTATGAGGCTGGCATGGTGGCGGTTCGGTGGGGAGGTCTGATAGGGAGTTAGACCATTGAGACTTTAAGTTTAAGATTTTAGGTGAGATAGGATTGGTTTTACTTGAGAGATTGAGGATTCTTTCTTCATCGAGCTTGAAGAACAATTCAAAGGATAGTTCCACTAAATTTGGACAGGTTGTGGTATGATCAGAATTGAAAGTGTTATATTTGGTCTCTTATTCGTTGAGAGTTGGTCATGGAGATGTTTCAACATGAACGGTCTTCCAGGGAGTCAAACCATTATAGATTTTAGGTCTCAGAAAGGTAGAAGTGGTTTGCAGGGCTGAAGGTTTGATTGTTGTCGTTGGGATAGAGGTTTCGGTTTGGGTTTCGGTTGTCTTAGGAAGATTGTCTTATGCGCATAATTTTCGATTGTGTCCCTCAGGTGGATTATTTTGTTATGGGTGGCAATAAGGAGTGATTTCGAGGACGAAATCTAATTTAAGTGGAGGAAAGTTGTAACACCCATAATCTAGAAGGTTAAATCGTTGAAATTAAGCCAATTTTGAGTTGAACTCGGCGAGTTGGAGGAACCAACTCAACATGTTGAAGATGGAAGAATCATAGAGATTTAATGGGCCAACTCGACGAGTCGAGGTATCTCAACTCGGTGAGTTGGGCGCTGTTTGAGAGACCCTAATTTTTAGTGTTCAAGCCATATAAATATGTCATTATTTCCCATGCCCCAACCTCCTTATCAGCCTCCTTAGCTCAAAAACCCTAAAACCTAACCCTTATCATCTTTGTGTGCTCTTAACCTTGTGAAGATCATTTTTTGTTAGATTGGAGCCTTAGAAAGAAAAAGAGGAAGTTGGTGAAGGAGAGTTAGTGAAGCTTGAGCTTGAAAATCTGAAACATCATCATCATTTAGCATGCATGTGAGGTATAAAGCACAAAACTTGCCTTATATTTGCTTAGATCTCTTCTTGGGGTAGATTGTATGTTTTTTAGCCATGTTTGAGTGGATAATGGGGGTATAGGTCGTCCCAAGTGTTTATTCTTTCAAATTTGAATCTCCATGAGCTCTTTTTGCATAAAGGTGCCAACTTTATGGTATTAAGGGGCTTCATGCATCTATTAAGCTCTTCTTTTGGTCTCTTATGAGCTTTTGGGCCTCTCCTAGCCATGCATAAGTGTAAAGTTGGAAGCTTTACGTGACCATGCAGCCTTAAAGAATATTTTGGGGTTTGTCTTGGTGATTAAGTGATTATTGATTAAGCCCTTAAACTTTTAAGCACATGGTTTGAGTTTTGAGCCCACTTGGTTGGTACCTAGGGATAAAGTTGGAAACTTTACCCTTCTAGAGACTATATCAGTTAAGATCTTAGTGGGGAAGCTGTTAGTTTCGATTATGTCAGCTTAATGGATTATGATGTTCGGTTCTTGATGAACTCGATGAGTTTTTGGGAGAATTCGGTGAGTTAGATCGGTTCTTCTTGATTTTTGCAGTCTGATGAAGGAAATGTGATGAGTTGAAGGGCAACTCGACAAGTTGGTTCAACTTGGGCCATTGACTTTGACTTTTGACTTATGTATTTGACCAAGTTTGTCCCAAGGGGTATTTGAGGTAATCTGAATTGCAATTAAGGGAATTATGGGTTTAGAATAAGGCCCATATAGGGTTGTGCCCAATTTGGAAAATTAGGCCATTGGTTGATTAATGGGCCTTGTGCCTTTCAAATTATGGTTTGGGTCATGGTTTTGGGCAAGGCTATAAGTTGTGGTTATGGATTGGAACCTAATGGTTAATTGGGTGTTGTTTTGATATGACAGTTCAAAGGTGTCGTCAGGGCAACAACTAGGGATTTCTTTTAGCGTGCTTCTGCATTCGAGTTGAGTCTCCTCACTGTTCTATGGGTCGAAGGCACCAATTCCAGCCCATCTGGTTTATGTATGGAAGGAAGACCCGAGGATGACCCATGACATTTTGTATGGAAGACTAGGATGCGACTCCTGGCACTTTTCTATAACAAATGTAGTTAAGTAGATGTAGATTGTATGCTAGTTGTCTTTGTGATACTTGTATGGAAGACCAGGAGGTGGCTCCTGGCGCTTGTCTGTAAGACCTAGGGTTATGGCCCATAGCCTGGCAAGGAAGACCACGAGGCGGCTCGTGGCATAATGGCAAGACTATGATTAGCACGTAGCATACTTATTGATTATGGTATATGAATGATATGTATGGCTCATAGTTAGGTATGACATGTAGGGTTCGTTTGATATGTATGGTATGTGGTATTTGGGGAACTCACTAAACTTTGTGCTTACAATTTTTAGTTTATGTTTCAGGTACTTCAGTATTCAAATGAAAATGCTCAGGACGATCGCAGCGCATACACCCGTATTTTCAGCAATATGTGATATTTGGGAACGAACTCTGATGATTGTTTTATTTGGAATGCTTTTCAATGTTTTGAACAGAGTTACAATAGTGTTTAATTATAATAAAAATGAAAATTTTGCCCGTGTTATTGGGATGTTACAAAAATGAGGGGGAACGAGTAGTTACGTGACGAAGGATTCAGTTTCGTTTTGCATTTACAATATTGCCCCCATGTTTTTTTTCTTTGCATCTAGTTTTTGAATTAATTACAAAATTGTCACCTTGTTAAATTAAAAGGTAATTTTTGTTCTCAGTTGTTCTCGCAGTAAAAAATGTTCTCGATTGAACACTTATATATATATATATATATATATATATATATATATATATATATATATATATATATATATATATATATATATAAGCTAGGTTAATGTGTTTCTTACATCTGTTGTGTGCTAGAATACACCAATATGAATTTAGTAAAATTAAATAATAATTTAATTAAATAAAGATAGATATTAAATGATTTCCATAAATGTATGTATATTAAATAATATCCATAATTATAATTCTTTTTTTTATGGAAATTAATTATATTCGTCATTAATATCAGCAACAACAATCTTTCAGAATGAATTCACATCTAAGTTTTCATGTATGAGTTTGTGTTTTGTTGATGGACTCACTCATTTAAAATACAACAAAATTGCATTGAATATGAAGAACAAGTTCTTATTCTGTTAGAATATATTCTAATTTTTTCTAGAATAAACTTTCATTATACTAGAATACATTATTGTTCTTATATACGCAAAACTAGATGAAAATAGAATATTATTTATGATATTAATGACAAATTTAATCGATTTCAATAAAAAAAGAATTATAATTATGAATATCATTTAATATATATAATTATTGAAAATATTTAATATATATCTTTATTTGATTAAATAATAATTTAATTTGTATTATATTAGATGTGAGAACGTTTGAACTTTTCAATATATATATATATATATATATATATATATATATATATATATATATATATATATATATATATATATATATGGGAAAAGTGAATATACCCTTAAGGGTATATAAGCTTAGGTACCCAAACACATCATATTTTGTCGTTTTATATCATATAATACATTCTAATTGTCCAATACTCTTATAATTTAACTTCTAACTTGATTTACTTCCAAGATTTTTATAAACTATACGATTATCTTCATCTTACATAATTTTCATTTTCAACTACAATATATATAGCCTAGTAGGTGTTTGGAAAAAAGATGTGATGTAAGAGAAAGGTAATAATGAAATTTCGAAAATCTTGAAAGTAAATGAAGTTAGTAGTTGAAGTTTATAAATATTATGATAGATATATCAAACAAAACGACGTATTATTGTGAGTTTGGGTACCTAAGCTTATATACCCTTAAGGGTATATTCACTTTTCCATATATATATATATATATATATATATATATATATATATATATATATATATATATATATATATATATATATATATATATATATATATATATATATATATATATATATATATATACTACTTATAAAAGAAATCTAACTATTTCTATAAATAGATTGAATATAATAATATTATTTTTTTAAGACGTCCAAACTATTAAGCTTGAAGTACAACCTATTTATAATATAATAATATTAAAACTTTAACCTTATCTTTTATCCCATAAAAATCCCGTATCAAATTAATAGAAAAATTCATTTGCAAATTGAACCCGTCAATCTCAACAATTCAGCCATTTGAAGCGGTCAATGTTAACAATTTATAGAGGATCTCTTCTTTCACATTGGTAACAAGCCATCTCATAATGTCTATCTTCGTAATCCCTTCAAAGTAAGAAATATATGCACACTCTCTCGAAGAACTCTAACCAGTAACCAAGACAGTATAACCACCACCACAACAGCCGCTCTGCCTCCTTCCGCCTTCAACCAACCACTATCACGACTACCGTCATTCCTCTCACCCACGAGATGAACTTTCTTTTGGAACATAACATTTTTCTTTAAAAAAATATCTTTGAAAGAAGTTATTTGTCCCCGCCGCTGTGCGCGGGTAACGGCTAGTGTATATATATATATATATATATATATATATATATATATATATATATATATATATATATATATATATATATATATATATATATATAACAAAAATAAAGTTTATTATTTTCCATAATTTACGTTTTAATTGTTTTGAGTGGAATAGGAAAACCCGATTTCTAAAAAACCCTTCAATCGTGATTTCCTTTCCAATTTAGCCGTCTCCTCTCACGGCGTAATCGTGGTGGGTGCAGCACACCCTGAACCACATTGGGAACTTTCACCGGAGCTCGTCTTCTTTCCCCACACACCCTTTCAGTCAATCCCTCTTCTGCAACCACTGCTCAGACCGCAATCGCGGACTGTTTCACACACATTTTATGCATGGAAAGCGAAGAAGAAAGCGGCTGCAGCAGAATCAAGAATAATAAGCCCTTGAGCCTCGAGTGGGAAAAGATCATGCCTTCGTCTTCCGGTGACGACGATCGTCCACCGGAGCTTCTGGTGACATCGAAGAAGAAATTTAAGGGCGGCGGCAGTGGAATAGACGCGCAAGAGAATCAAATAGAAGACTTGGAACTCCAGACGAAATCATTAAATGAAATTACCGAGTCTATTACGAGGTTTAAAAAAAACTTGGTGACATTAAGTAAAAAGTTGCCTGATAATGGCGAAAAACTCAAGGGAACTCTCCAGAGATACGAAGCTGAACTCGAACGAAGAAATAAACTCAAATCGGAGAAGGTTTTGCTTTTTTCTGCCCCCTTTTTTATGTCAATGCAATGCTTCTAAATGTTGTAACACGCACATTGGGTATTAAATTTGGAATATCATCCATTGATTGATTATTACGAAGTTAAGGATCAGGTGGCTTTGAGAATGCCAAATCGAAAGCAACCACATTATATATCCGATTTCCTAAAACTTTTCCACCTTGAAAATTAGGGATTCATTTAGGGGGGGTATTGGGTTTTCCTGTTTATACGATGGAATGGAATTAGACCATGGTAATTATCAATTGACATTCCATACCAGTCACAATGAATAGTGTAAGAAATTGTAGCACTCTTGATATGGAGTTCTAACATTTACCATGAGCCTCAATACAGCTTTCTGATCATATTTTCTTCACAGGTTGATTTTAGATGTGATGAGACAATACAGCTTTCTGATCACAGCAATGAAGGTGAGATTTAATCACTAGCAAATCGATAATAATAGTATTCCTATGTTTCTATGAATCTATGCATATACAATCTGCTAAACTGCTTTTCTGTAGGTGATTCCAGTGGCAAAAAGAAAGGTGATCAGAAATCTTCATCTCCATCAAAGTTTGCCAATTTTTTTAACAAAAAGATAGTGGAAGGTTCTCGGACTGTGAATGCATTCGACAGTGATTTGTCTATCATGAATCATTGTCAGGGGCGAAAAGGGAAACAAAATAGTCAACCTTTGGGTAAAGGAAAGTCAAGGAAGGCATTACCTTCCCCAAGGACTCCTGTAGTTGATAATGAGAAACAAATCTTCTCCAATGATGACAAAAAACACAATGATTCTATTTCTACCTCCTCCCCTGAACCCCCTGCAACTTCAAGAAATTTGAGGCCTAGACATGTAAGTTGTTTCCACTTTCCATTGTCTTTTTTTCATGGTATTCTCAGTTTATTCATATTTCCTATATTGCCCTTATGGTTACAGAAACGGACTTATCATTTACTAGATGAGGAGCCAAAGTTTCATTCTAAAATACAATATGCAGATTTAGGCATCTGGTAAAATTTACTTCTTGTTCATTTCTTTCATTTTGTTGCTTATACTTCATGACCTAAAATTGCAATTTAATTCATCAAATTTATTAATTTCAGTGAGAAAGATGTTACAGTATACTACCCATCAAGGTATATCAGAAATCTCCTCTGTTTATGTTGGATGATCTTCATATATTCATATGCTGACATGGCATATCTTGTTTATCTGAGTTTACAGGGATGACCCTGGTTCAGTTGAAGTTAATTATGCTGACATGGCATGTCTTGCTCCTGAAGCATGTCTTTCATCCACTATCATGAATTTTTATATTCGGTAATTGCTTTCTTGTTCAATTAGTTTATAAACTTTATACAAATAACATGTAGAAATCTTTTCCTGATAACTTTTCTTTGATAATTTTGTTAAAGATATCTTCAGCAGCAGCCAACATCTTCATCTGAGAGTTCGACATGTCATTATCATTTTTTCAACACATATTTCTACAACAAGCTAGAAAAGGTGTGAGGTGTCTCATTTTCTGACATGAATTCTTCATATGATAAAAATAAAATGGCAATTAACTTTTTTTTATTTTTTTTCATTTTAGTTGAGTTACAAGGAAGATTCATTTCTAAAGTTCAGAAAGTGGTGGAAAGGTGTGAATATATTTGAAAAAGCATACATTCTTCTTCCGATCCATGATAAGTAAGGTTTTGAATTTGTATATAGTATTAATACTCATGATTGTTGATTAAAAAATATATTTTTTTTATATATGTATTTTTGTTAATTGTGTAGTGCTCATTGGAGTCTGGTGATTATATGTTTCCCTACAAAGGAAGATGAATTAGGCCCAATTTTGCTTCATTTGGACTCACTTGGACTACACAATAGCAAATCACTTTTTGTAAACATTAAAAGGTATAAACACATAGTAGTTAATAATCCTCAATTAAATTACTTTCTTTTTATTAAATACTCTTATATTTAACTCAATTCTAGATTTTTAAAAGAAGAGTGGAGCTATATAAGAAAATCAGAACTTTTAGAAGTCCCAATTCCAGATGAAATATGGGAAAATCTCGACACTAAAATGGAACACAGAAGGGTTACGGTATAAATCTTTTCTTGAAAATATGCCTCTTTTGAGTTTCTTCCGGAAGGTTCTAGAAGTTTCTGAATCGTTTGTTTTTAAGCAGGTTCCTCAGCAGATGAACGAGTATGATTGTGGGCTGTTTGTTCTGTTGTACATGGAACGTTTTATAAAAGAAGCTCCTAGAAGGCTCAAAAAGAAACATTTAACAATGGTACATTTTTTTTTAATTTTTTATTGTTATGTTTGTTATCTTATGTGTATAATTAGTAGTGATGACGTGGCAATATTGTGATTTTTAGTTTGGGAGGCAATGGTTTCAACCAGAAGAAGCATCAGATTTGAGAGTGAAAGTTCACAATTTACTTGTAGAAGAGTTCAAGAATGTTAAAGAGAAGAAGGAATCGTAGATTTAGTTGTAGGAAGGATAATATTTTGTTCTTAAAAAAAAATCAAAATTCTCTCTAGATGTATATACATCTGTATAGGAAGGATTGAAAGTAGAAGAATTGCGATTAAGCGCAATGTTTGACTTGTTTGACCTCCCAAAAGAGATAACCCAAAATTAGTCATTAAGTTTGCGGATGGATGGAAGTTATTGGTAACTTGTTGATGAGAAAAACAAGTAAATGTAAAGATTGAATTCATTGATCTTTAGATGTGTCTAAAGTTACTAAAATAATACACCATATATGATTATATGAGAGCTTTCTGGAAGGATTGATTTGACTTTTAAGCATGCGCATCAATGATATAATTCTTGACGAGCCTGAATGTAAATCCATTTTTGTGGGTTTTGAGTTATGTTTAGACTTTAGAGAGAATTAGCATTAAGGGAATTGAGAATTGTTTTAATGACAGGTTTTATCTCTTATCTCTTATGGAGTCATGATTAGGGTTATTATGTAGTGTAATGTTCTTTAAGGTATATATATAGGGGAAGGTGGAGTGTAAATGGGCCGAGTCGAACCGAGCCTGATGCTTGATTAACGAGTCTGATCCTAATCAAAGCTTGAGCCCTACTTGTTTAAAAAACTTTAGGTTGAAGTTCGGCTTGTTTTGAACCCTATGATTGAAACACAGAGTTCAGCTTGTTTAAAAAACTTCACGCATGAACATGCTTGTTTCGAACCCTATGCTTAAAACTTAAGCACAATTTGTTAAAAAAAAAAAAAAAAAAAAAAAAAAAAAACTTCATTCTCGAACTCGGCTCATTTCAAGCCTCATATTTGTTTGAAGCTCGGGCTTAGTTCGTTTAAAAAATATTAGGCTCGAGTTCGAGCTCGGCTGATTTCGAACCCTATTTTTGAAGCTCAAGCTTGACTCGTTTAAAAAAATTCAGGCTTGAACACCACTCGTTTCGAACCCTATGCTTGAAGCTTAAGCTCAGTTTTTTACAAACTTCATGCTCGAGTTCAGCTCATTTTGAACCCCATGTTTGAAGTTCGAGCTCAGTTCGTTTAAAAAATTTCACGCTTAAGTTCAAACACGACTCGTTTTGAACCTTATCTTTGAAACTTGATCTCGACTCTTTTGAAAAACTTCAGGCATGACCTCTAGCTTGGCTCGTGAAATATTTAATAAGCTCCGTCAAGCTAGAGTTCGTTTATTAAGCAAAACTAAAAATAGATTCACTAAAATCTTAGCTTGAGAAGCCTCATGCACTTTTTCATCAAATATGTCGAAACAAGCTAAACATAGGCTGACTAGGCTCAATGAGCACTGCTCGTTACTTGTTAAAAGAATTTTGCATTAGAGTATCGGGTATGGGACGTGTACACGACGTTTTTGTCGATGTGGCATAGTCATAACGGCTTTAACACCACCCCAATTAGCTGTTATGGTAAGCTTCGTGGTGATGAGAATGGGTTGCAACGTCAAGTATAAACCAATCAAAATCATTGACCGCTACTTTGACCATATTAATGGTCAATTTGTTATATATATATATATATATATATATATATATATATATATATATATATATATATATATATATATATATGAGATTCTATAATTTAGGCTACTAATATCTACATAACTTTTATACGAAATATAATATAAAATAAATAATTACATTGTAGCACCTAGAAAATAATAAAAATTTCATTGTTTTTCATTGATATTTTTAGACATTCATTTTTGATAAACTCTAGCAGCAACACTCATCTCAGTAATTTGTCTTGGCTATGTGCACACTATTTGCATCAAAGTAAAAAATGGAAAAACCTACTAACTACATTTGTTTATATAGAATAAATACATGAATAATATTGAGTTAATTCAAAAATACCATTCCACATTTTGTGTATCCAGCTTCATGGAGATATTGATGTATCCTTGTGGTCGTCCCAGAACCACTTTCTTTAACGACAAGAATCTAAAAAAAATCAATCAAATATAAACTCAAATTTGCACGATTACATGGTACCTTTTTTTTTTAAATAAAACATTGTACTCTAAAAAATCCAGCTAATTATAGCATTGTACTTTCATGATTTTTAATTAGGAGACTGTACTTTGAAACATCTACTTAATTATAGCAGTAAAAAGTACTTTATATTTTGATGACATTGTTATAATTGGCTAGATTTTTTTAAAAATACAATGTTTCAAATAGGAAAAAATGAAACTACAATTCTATTATAAACAAATAAATGAAAGTACGTTTTTGTTTCATACATTTTACCCTTTATTTTTTTCCTTCCATTGCTCCAATTATGCCATCATGTTTTCAAATATGTTTTAAACATCAATTATCCAAACATCGTATTTTCCAGACAACACATAGTGCCTGAGAAAAAGACCAGCTTACCCTTCTAGCTAAAAGGAAATTGAAGATAAAGTAAGAATTGATACAAAGAGGTACATACCAAGGTGGATGGCTCTCAACAATAAATATTAACAATCAATATTTTTCCATGATCTCCTTCAATAATTCCTTAGGTGATGTAGTTGCAAAGTATAATTAAAAAAAAATGAAAAATGTGAAATATGATAATTTAAAGTTTTACAAATCTTACCAGGTAACCTTGTAAACCTCTCATATTGTTCATAAGCTTTCCATATAAGCATTTCACCCCTGTAACAATTTTGGCTCCACATTCTCCTGCTTCCCTAAGTAATCCAGTAATTTTAGGCGTGTAAACTGCATCAAATACCAATGCATACGACTTCAAAGATTCTTGCCAAAAAACAAGAGAATACAAAAAATGACAAGTCTACCTTTCTAGGGGTTGGGTGGTAAATGGTAATAATAAGACTCGTTTCAAATTTTCCTTTTTAATAAAAATGTAAGGATTAAGCCATGTTTGTTACTAAGGGCAATCGATTTTCAAATGAACATGGAATCGCACTCCATCTCCCATTTGTGCAAAAGACATAAACGACCTCCTCATTATTAAAACAACCCTAGAAAACTTGTCATGTCCCGTGTATCAGGGTTTGTAGGCGTATTTCAATGTTTTTGTTACAGTGTACAGGACTGAAAAAGCTTTTTAAGGCTATCCTCAATGATGAGGATGTGGAGGGCATTCACGTCTTTTGCACATAAGAGAGACCAAGAAACAAAAATATTACAATTCGTCGCATTGAAATGACTCCTATTTCTCCTGTGTAAGTAAGGAAGACATGACATATTAGGAATCGATCCGGTAAAAGACGTAAATGCCCACATTAAAACAGACACTTTGTCTGTGCATATACAAGTTATGCCTACATGTCATGCACATATTCACTTCATAACTCATATCATCATTAAATTTCTAACTGAAAAGCATTATAAAATATGATGAGAGTATGGTAAATAAGGCAAACCTTAGAAATAGGAGTCTTATTAATGTTTGGCTGGAACAGTTGGAGGTAGGACAGGGCCTGCTAACCGAACACATGCAACTACTTGTACCCCTGATGATTTACCAATCAATTTTTGAAAGCTATGAAAATTGGATATTAGCATCATGTAGAATTATCCCCCATATGAAAGCCTACATATCAACATCAATGACTTGCTTATAGGGATTAAAAGGAAACACCATAACTTATTTATATATTAAAGCTGACATATCAACATCAACGAACCAAGAAAAGAAAGTAACCTACAATTTAAGCTTTTAAAAGATCAGGGCTTACTCATAATTTCTAGAAAGAACTTGTAGCATAAATAGAGCTCCTAAAACTTGCAGACCTTGCAAATTAAGTGTCACCCATTGCAAAAGACAAGACCATTGCTAAGGATAATGATAATAGGCATGTATAATTGTCTTGAGATACTCTCCCAACTATACCATGTTAACAAAATATGGTGCATGAGTTCTTTAAATCTCAAAGATTCATATGAGTTTTCAAAAACATTGAATAAGACCATTACTCTTTAGATGGCAGGTCATAACTAAAGTTTAAGTGCTAAAAGTCTAAAGCCAAATACATTTCTTTCTTTTGACTCAGACCATGGAAATAAGACTTACATAATAAATGTTAGATGGACAAAAAGAATTAAAATCAACTGGAAACTATTGGAGCTTCATCCAACAACATACCTGAAAGTATTCAGGCATCAATAAATGTAGAACCATTGCTTCCTCTAGAAATCTTTTTTCTTTGTTCAACCCTACAATATCATGAAATCTGATTCAAGAGGCATTTTCTAAGACATCCCTTTCTAATCAGTGCAACCAAGTCATGATCAGGTCCCTCATACTGCCCTCGTTTTGATGTGTGCTCCTCACCATCTCCATTATGATGATTACAAGATAGCGGTAAGAAGTAAAAATAGAAGAAATCAATCACCATAATAGAGCACTAAACCAATAATGTTATGCAGTGAAATTTACCATTGAGATTCATTCTCGCTAATTTCATATGATTTGGTAATCCTGCAAGCAATACCTTTGCGATGTGTGATCAACCGTATTGCTGTCACACAAAAAGTTAAATCTTAGGATTTTAGGAACGTAGGAACAACACTGACTTAATAAATGCTAAAAACGATTTCTATTGAATGGTTTAATAAACATAAAAGGAACAATTTGAGGAGAATGCCACAAAGGAGGAAGAAGAGGCATGAGGATTACCTGGTTAAATGAAAAGCACAGACGAGGCGAACTTGTGAAGCAAATGCGACGGCGGTGTTTAGCGGGAACGACGGGGAACAACCGGCAGCAGCGAGGTACGGGTCTTGACGGAGCGACGATGACGTTTACAGCCGGAATAGAGCTGAAGCGATTGAGTTCAAAGCATATCGATTTTTGGGAGCGTTTTCCCTCTTTAGCCCTAACTTACCGGTTTGATGAAATTGAAAGGAGGAAATATCAAAAACGAAAATCTAACACAAATTAATGAAATTATGGTGGTAACGCGGAAACAAAAATAATAAGTAAAAGTGGTTTAATAGCTTTAGTGGCATTTATAAAAAAAAAAAATTAAATTGAAAATATATATACTCAGTGTCATTTTAAATTATTATAGAACTAATAAATATGCATGATATTTAGTGACATAAAAATATTAAGTGTCTTTAAATCCATTAATTCTTTAGTGGCATTTTGAATGTTCCACTAAAAGCATTCTACATAGCACACAAAAAAATATGTCACTAAAACATTGTGCCACTAAATATCGTTAAGTTTGTCATGCACTTAGCTCTCAAAACACCTTGGAGCATCACTACCGACTGCCATAGTGGCAGTGGTGGCTAACGGTGACTGCCACCACCTTGGCGGTGGTGGTGGTGGTGAA